TCCGCTCCCCCGCGGTACCCTGGGCCGCAGCGGAGGGGTGTGGGGTTCCACTCCCTGCCACACACATCGCAAGAAGACTCGAGTAGAAGGATAGCTTCGCTTGCTGGAGGGCTGTGTGGCGCCCTAGCATCTTTACGCGGGGAGTGCTGCTATGGGTCTGTTTTTAAAAGAATAAAACTCATCTTAGCAGCGAAATTCCTTCAGTGTGGTGAGAGCAGGATAGCGGCTGGAGTAGTGAAGGTAGACCAGTCTAATGCACGTTTATGGGCTGGAGAAGTTACCAGCCCTTTTCATTGTCACATAAGCCAAAGCTTTAGTTGAACTAAACAGTTCTAGATAGATTTTAAGATGAGTTAAGCATGTGTATTCTCAGTTCAATAAATGTAAATGAGAAATCACTTTTCATCTAGATAGCTACAACTCCAATGGAGCTTGCATAGAGGTGCAAAATGGGGAACACAAGTTTGAGGTGACCAGAATACTCTTAAAAAACAAAAATAGCTCTGAAGCATATTTTTCCACATGTAAACAGTAATTCAAGTCAGTTTAGCTAGTATGAAAAATTAGTGAAGGAGTGTTAAAAGTCATTCTTCCCTACCCTTTTTTATTTTGTTTTCACATGTCTTTGTTTTGCATCTCTTTTGAATGATGTTTGTGGTCTATGGCATGCATCACTACCATATAGTTTTTCATACAGCTTATCCAGTCTTTTCCATGATTCTGAAACAATCCTATGCAATTGCTAAAGCTTGAAGTTTCGAAGTTACCTAATTCTCCAATTCCATCTTCATTTTTCTGCATTTCTGAGATTCTTTTTAAATAGCAGTTACTGACAATGAGAAATATTTGGTTAAGTTGCTAACAATTCTGTGCACTGTTAAAGGGTGTTGCCTCACTGGAGAAAAAAAATGAATATTTTTTAAAAACTTGGATATTTAAAATATGAGCCAAGTAAATGGCTGCAAATGTTCCCCTTTTTTCAGAATTGTTACTAAATGAACAGCATTTCTCTGAGTATCTGCTCAGATGTCATTGTAGGGGAATTAATATAAATAGATATATATATATATATAAAATAACATAATGAATTGGTGTGGGGCTTCTGTGATTTCTTTCATAGGAAAGTAGTGTTTTTTTATTATTTTGTTGAGCTCCTCTGTAATGAGGCAATGCTGTGAATTGCTGTAGTTAAGAATTCTGCTTAAGTAAAGTAGAATCTTAGATAAAATTAATCCAAAGTACAGCTCCATACTTGTTGCTCAAATGTTTTCTTACTTGTGCTCTGAAATGCTGGATCAGTATCAAGTGAAAGGTTACCCTGAGATGACTCTACTGTGCTCTGGCTTGGACTGTCTGAGCTGCAGCAGATTATCTGTGTGTAGTTCGGTCAAATACTTGTCTGGTTGTTGCAAACTGATCCAGATCTGGTGGTCGCTCTGGTTGTTCAGGAAGGACAAAATGACTTTGATTTTGCAGAGGAAGAATAAGTGACTCCTGCAGTTATAATTTCCTCTGGAAGTGAGAAATTGGTTTAGTGTTCCATGGATTCGTTGTCTGTGATGCCAGAGAAAATTGTGGTGGAAAGGCTTTATAAGGGTTTGGACATCACTGTTTTAACACATGATTACTCTAGAAACATCAGCATGACTAAGCAGGGTAGCTGTGTGGAAAGACTACCTTAGCACGTAAAGGATTTTACTGGTAAAACTGAAGCCTTACATACATTATTTTTTGCTCATTATCACATCATTACAAAGGTTAGGAGTTTGTCAGTGTGAACTAATAAAAGAAATATTGCTAGATACATATTCTTAATACAGGCATGCATTTGTAAGAGGGAGGGAAACATTCTTGGTCATTTGAAAATAGAAATGTTGCTTTACCACCACTGATCCTATTTTTCTAAGGCTAAGTACCACCTCTTGCTGAGGTTTTGTAAGTACCTCAGTTCAGAAGAATATTTGCCCTTACTGGAAATGAAAAGCATTTTGTTCTTTAGGCTGGCTCCAGGACTGGCCCAAACCACTTTGCCCAACATTACCAAAACATCGCTGGGCAGCAAATGTTTTGACACCTTTTGCTGCTAAAACAATTGCGATGAGAAAGTTTCCAGGGATACATAAAATGACCAATAAAAGCTGACAGAGAGGAAACAATCCAGTAGGCTGCTGCTTCCTCTCCTGTCATAGAGGGGACAGTGTGTATATCTATATCTAAAGACAGATAGGCATTGTTTTACACAATGAGAAGCATCTGATGGGTTGTATAGCTTGATAACAGATACAAAAGATGCTAGCAGATATTTGAAGGAAGTTTGTTTGCCACCATTCTTGGCTTATAAATGGAAGTTGCTTATAAAAAACGCTGACTTGCTTGAGGGTTGGCTAGACCTCTGCATTTGTCAGTACTGATACGGTGATATTATTAAAGAGATATGTATTTTTGTATGCCACAAAGAACAGTCAGCTTTCCAAAAGGTGACATGAATGTTCCAAAGTAACTAATTCTACCAGTGACTGTGTTAAAACAACTTACTTTTTTTTTTTTTGCATGGTAGGGTTATTTCTTACATTTCTAACCTATAAGGAAACAGGAATTTTTGTGATCTTTTAAGAAGGAAGGTGATTTTTTGTTTGTTTGAAATGGAAGTGCTGTTTGTTTGGGGTTTTTGTTTTGTTTTTAATCCCCTGCATACAAGTCAAAGTTGATTTTCTGGAATAACTAAAACATTCTTACCATCCCATGTGCTTTGCATTCCTACTAATGCCTCAGATTTATCTTTGGTAGGTATTATGCAGTTTAGATCCACCCTTACTACTTCTAACCCTAGAATTAGAATGGAATAGGCTATTTCAGTTGGAAAGGACCCACAATGATCACCTGGTCCAACTCCTGAGCAATTCAGTGCTGATTAAAAGTTAAAGCGTGTTATTAAGGTCATTGTCCAAATGCTTCTTAAACACTGACAGGCTTGGGGCATCAACCACCTCTCTAGGAAGCCTGTTCCAGTGTTTGACAATGCTCTCAGTAAAGAAATGTTTCATCATGTCAAACCTGAGCCTACCCTGACGGATGCACCTTTGAGCCATTGCCATGCATCCTGGCACTGGCTCTCTATACTTGTATCTCACATTACTCCATCCCTGGTGCACAATCTGGCATTTTGACTTGTTAAATTTAATCTTATTAATTGTTGTCCAATGCTCCAATCTTTCTAGATCCTTCTGCAATTATTAAATTTACTATAGCACTTACCAACATTGTATCAATGTATATACTGTAACTGTGATATTACAGTCGTAATACAGCTGTTCAAATGTAATAGAGTTCTTGTGACATCATGTCATTATCTGAGAAATATACAATACCAATCTTGTTTTAAGATCGTCTGTCAATAATCTGATATTTAATATTTCTGAAGATTAGTGATATACAACTTGCTGTGTGCAAGTTTGTTCTCAGTTAAAAATGAGCAATACAAGGCAACTGTCCGTGCTATGTAGTTCTTTCCCTGCCACCTTTCACCGCTGTTTCAACACTGCTATTAGAAAAAATGCTAGTTAGTCTTTGAAAGCATTTGTTATGCGGTTATGATCCTGAACATATTCACAAAAATAAGCAAACAGGGCCACAGTATTTCTCATAGAGCTAAAAAGAGGAAGACAATGCAAAATAAAAAAGGGCAAAAGTCAAGAGCAAGCTTCTATCTTAAGACTTTTGAAGGATCTCAAGTGTTATGTGCATATAACTTTTCAAGCCTTTGCTGCCTTACTTCGTGAGACTTTACTGTGCATGTTGATTTTCATTAAAATATATAATTCTGTTTTAATACTGCTGCTGAAGTTACTTTATTGCCTATTGTTTCCAAAATACTTAAAGGAAATTAGGAAAGATGCATATTTCAAGGATCATTAGGAATGTTTGATTTAGTAGACAAGGTTCATGTATAAAAGTTTGATTTACAGAAAGTTGTGATCAAACAATATGAACAGAAAGAGATAAACATTTAGGAGGATTTTTGTAGGCCAGAAGCTTGGTTGAATGAATTTGACAGAAATCCAGGTATCCAAATGTCTAAAGAGAGGAGAATCTAGTAAGAGAACTGGATGTAAAGAGATCTTTTTTCAGCTCTTTTCTCATCTGTGAAAGGTTACCTCTTCAATTTTGCCACTGCTGCTACAAAAAAGATATCTGAATCTGTTGCTGAAACAGCACATACGATAAAGAAGTCTGTAGAAGAAGGAAAAATTGACAGCATCATTGATAAGGTATTTTATTTCTAGATACTTGATCTGAAAGAAGTGCTTGTTTACTGTTGATGTAATGTGTAGCAAATATGGCATGTGATAACATTTCTTTAAGCTGGCTTTAGGAATTACCCATTTCAAAAGCAGATATCTCCTGTCTTGATAAATGATGTGACTGAATTATTTATTCAGGACAGACATGCCAAAAATTGGTCACTCTGCTTTAGTGAGTACTGCACCTGTGTTTCATTCCTTCAGGGTGCAGATACACTGGAGAAAGACCAGAAGAAAATATGAAAAATAGGAGTAAAGGCTGGAAGAGTTAGTAGAGACAGGCAGTTGGGGGGTGTCTGGGAGGTGTGTGGGTTGGGGTTTTTCCCCCAGTTTATTTAGGTGGAAATAGGAATGGTATAGCCTGCATCTTAAATGCATTTCTCTAAAGCAAGAATCAGAATTAGGTTAGCTTTGTGGATATTGTATACTAAGATCCTAGAGCTATACAGGTAAGACCGAGTGAGTTAATGAAACAGCTTACTACTGTCCTGTTCTTTCCACCCACCACCAACCCTGTCTGATCTCTTGCCCTCTCCTCCCTGTTCCTGGCTGCCAGCTCCAGTTGCTTAACTTCTGCCAGCAAGTGATCTTCCGGCACTTTAAGTCATTAACTTGGTGGGGGGAAAAAAAACCAAACCAAACTAACACCTCCCCCACCACAAAAAAAAAAAACCAAACAAAAAAACAAACAACCAAAAAACCCAG